TGCTCTGGCCGGATGCAGATGTGGCCGGGCAGATGCAAACGCCTTCTCCCTCTGCGGCTGCTGCTGGGTGCTGAGCTGGTTTTTTTTCACAGAGCAAAGCAAAGGCCAGGGCTCCGCTGGGTTCGGGAGTCTTCCCCCCTCCAACTCTGCGTGCTTTTCAAACCCGGTTTAATATCAAGGTATCGGGCTAAGCGCTGCGGAGCAGCTGCGGGGGGGCTGAGGCTTCGCCTTCCCGCCAAAGTCCCTCATAAGCATTCAGAGAAAGTGCCTCAAGCCCTGGTTCTGCAATGGGGTGCCTTTAGGAAGAGCCTTTTCACTGCCTCGGAGTGCTGCTGGAGCCAGTGGGAATCCGTCCAGGCATAACAGACCACCCATGTGGAGCTGGGCCTAAATGTTTGAAGCTCATTCCTCCGCTTCCTACTCACGGAAAACTCCCAGCGACTTTGATATCTCTGCGGGGAGTTCAGGATCGGGCCTTTGGTGAGCAGTTCATGACCCCTCTGTAACTCAGCATCACGATTTTCTCTCCCGGCCCGTGAGTGTCGGTGCTGCCCGTCTGCCCGCTGTCACCCAAAATCGCCATGCTGCAGCTCGTGGGACTTGTTTCCGCTCCAGCATGCTCTCTGCCTCCTCCCCTTTGAGGAAGGGAAAGTGAGTGAGGTGGCAACGGTGCTGTTAATTAGTACATTAACAGCCAAGGGGGGCTGAGATCCTACCAGACCACCTACATCTCCCTCCGACCTCCATGCACCACGCTCGGTAAAGCTGTTCCTTGCGTGGATCTGGCTTCCAAAAAAGAGGACCAGAGCTGGCTTCCTAGAAATCAGCGTAGTTTGCCTTAAGCAAATGGGGAGTCGGCTAATGGATGATGTCTCTTCTGCTGGTTCAGTTCTCTGCTTTGATACTACAGGTCTGAAACTTGCTCCAATTACTTTTCCAGGATCTCTTCTGTTCATGCGTGCTGCACCCTTTGCATCAGCTCTAGCAGCCTGATGCGGCTCGTACGGACGCCGCTGGAGAGCCTCTCCTCAGCGGGAAGCAGACAGGGCCACCGATGTCCTTATAAATGGAATTACAAGGTGCCTAGTAATGGATTCTAGTATCCATTTTACCAAACTGAATAAAGTACTCCAGTGAAGGAGGTTAAAAAAGGGTCCTGGGCTTTCATACACAAGACAAAACGCAGCTCGTGCTTGAAACACCCGCGATCTGTGAAAACACCTCGGGAAAGGGAGTGCCGGATCAGTGCAAACCCTGTGAACAACGCAGAGAGAAACTCCTTGTGCTGCGGGGGTCATTCCTCTGAAGCGCAGGCTGAGCACACAAGGGCAGCCGCAGAAAACAGACAAAACGCACCCAAAGAGGAGCGCTAAACTAGCGATATTGCTCTGCTTGTTCTTCAGTACTGAAAATTAAGAATAGGGTACGCATTTTAAAGGCAACCGTTTTAAACGAGGTTTTCATTCATGTAGCGTGTTGGGTGGCTACTAGAAACCGGCCTCTTGGACCACTGTGAAATGGGTTTCCGTGTGTGAATAAACAGTGCATGGCCCAACTTCTGTGCTTACAAAACAACCCGGCAGAGGAGGCAAATGGGGGCAGGTGGGGCTGGCCTGGCCTGTCTGAGCCCCGCGACGTCGTCTGCTGCTGGAAAATCAGTGGGGCTTGTGCCAGACCCCGCAGCCAGCGCTGGGTGCCCTCTCCTGCTGCGGTCACCAGTACAGGCGCAGAACTGGTGAAAGGGCGCAACACTACGTGTGGCAGTGGGTCTGGGTGCTGGACTGGTGGCACTCTTCACATTGCTAAAACGTAGTTTTTCTTTTTTCCTTTTTCCTATTTTTTTCCTTTTTCTTTTCTTTTTCTTTTTCTTTTTCTTTTTCTTTTTCTTTTCTTTTCTTTTCCTTTTTCTTTTCTTTTCCTTTTTCTTTTTTTCTTTTTCTTTTTTTTCCTTTTTCTTTTTTCCTTTTTTTCCTTTTTCTTTTTTTCCTTTTTCTTTTTTTTTTCCTTTTTCCTTTCCCCCCTCTTTCTCCCTTTCCTGCTCTCCTTCTCTTTCTCTTTCTCTCTTTCAGTTTCCCTCTTTCCTTCTTTCTTCCTCTCTTTCTCTCCTTCCTTCTTGTCTTTCTTTTCTTTCTTTCCTTCTTTCACCCTTCCTTCTCTCTATTTCTTTCTCTCTTTCCTGCTCTCCTCTCTTTCTCTGTTTCCTTCTTTGCTTCTATCTTCCTCTCTCTCTTTCCTTCTTGTCTTTCTTTCTTTTCCTTCCTTCTCTTTCTCTCTCGCTCTTTCACTTTCCTTCTTTCTCTTTTTTCTTTCTTTATTCTTTTCTCTCTCTTTCCTCCCCTCTCTGTTCTTTCCTTCCTTCTTTTTCTCCTTCTCTTTCTTCCTCTCTATCTCTCTCGCTTTCTTTCTCTCTCTTCCTGCCGCTCTCCTGCGTTCCTTCTCTCTCGTTCCCATTCCCCGTTCTCTTTCACACGCTTCTTGCTCACTCTTTTTTGCCCGTTCCCTCCCTCGCCCTCTGTTTCTCTGACCCTCTGTCGCGTTTTTCCCCTCTCCTCCTTCCCCCCGTCTCTCCCTCTCTGTCCTCTTGTCCCCTTCTCCCCCGCCCGTTACTCCCGCACAACCGGGGC